ATTAAATTTGAAATGAATTATATTTTGTCAAATTATTATCATTATGAAAAATTTACATTAATTATAATTTATAAATATTGTATTCAATTGAAACAATTTATAGAAAAATTTCAACAATTATTATCTGTACATAATTTTCTATTATTAACAGTGTTTACAATGAGATTGTTATTTGATTTGACTAAACTATTTTTTAGTAATTTTCTATTATTAGATAATAATTTCCCACTAATCATAAACTATATTTGCACTACCTTGATACAATTTATTTATTTAATTTATTCGTGTAATATAATACCTGAATCATATAATAAGTTTGTTAATAGTTTAGAAAATAAATATCTATTAGTTAATAATAATAATAATAATAATTTTAATAATATAGATATAATTAAAAATTTAATTTTAATTAATTCAATGAAATCAATGTCCAGTAATATGTGTTTCACAGCATATAATTTGTATGCAATCACTAAACAAACATTTCTATCGATAATTGCATTAATAGTATCCTATRCTGTAATACTTATACAAACAAATATTGATTAAATTAATTTAATATAAATTTTATTTATATTTATATATATAACGTATATATTTAAATCAATATAGATTTATGTAATTATTATTATTATTAACAAATAATTTTATGTAAAAATGTTTTTAATAAATTAAATTGCATTGAAAATATTTATTCAATATTACTGTATATATATATAAAATWTATATATATATATATATATATATATATATATATATATATATATATAGAGAGAGAGAGAGAGAGAGAGAGAGAGAGAGAGACTTAAAATATTAGTAATGATTAGATAGTTATAATAAAAATAAATTTTATAATAAAATTATTTTTAATWTTTCTAATTRTGTTTTAAGTATAAAAAATATTGTTGAAAAAATATAYATATAATATTTACAACAACAACAACAACAACAAATAATAATGTCAAAAAATACTGGTTTAATAATATTGATAAATTATATAAACTATACTGGCAACTTTTATTTTGGTTATCATTTATTTAACAATAGCAATAATAATAATAATAATAATAATAATAAATTATCATTGTCAATAAAATTATAATAAAACTTTAATAAATTTYCTAATAATTAGCTTGGTAACCTATTGTCACTATACAAACATATTGGATAGTTTTGTTGAATTTGATGGCCATAATCTAAAACTATCGGGTGGCAAATTTAAACTAATAAAACTATTACATACATGTGCTATACTAGGATTTACAATACTAACATACAGTTCCTTGAATGTAATCCTATTGAATGGCCGTCAAATTGTAGACCTATTGGATAAYAACAACAAATAAYAATCAATACGTGTTAGATAGTAGTAGTAATAATCGGGAAACACGTACAGGAATTACTGTAACAATTRTAACACTAATGTTAAGCCTATTGATTAATATAAATTATTTTCTAGCCTATTATGTACTGGATGATTTTAAATTTCAATTAAATGATTTGTTTATATTTCCTATATATTTCCTAATTAACAATATAAATATGTTATCCATAGGACTATTAACATATAAATCATTGATAATTCGCAACAATTAAATTATTTCAACAAAAATTTGGAAATRTATTCAATTGAATATATTTACGAATATTGTTTGAAATTAAAACAATTTGTTGAAAAATTTGATAAATTATTTCAATTAAATAATATCATAGTATTAGTTATACTATCTATTAGAATAATATCTGATTTGATCAAGCTAGTTTTAGGTAATAGTCAAATARTTCATCTAGCACTAGTTGGCCTATTTGATAAGCTTGGTCATTTTATTTATTTAGCTTATGCATGCATTATTATACCAACAAATTACAATAGATTTCTAAATAATTTGGAATATAAATTTCARCTAGCTAATAATCAAAATAATAATAATAATAATAATAATAATATAGATATAATTAAAAATTTAATTATTATTAAATCATTGAAATCAATGTCCAGTGATATGTGTTTTACTGCTTATAGTTTGTATGCAATCAATAAACAAACACTAATAACATATTTATCGCTAATACTATCCTATACTGTAATACTCATACAAACTAATATTAATTAATTTAATTTAATTTAATTTAATTAATTAAAATATAATTTATATTATTAAATTGACGAAAAATAATATTATTTTACATATTACACAAAACTCAATGATTTAATTATTTATTTATTTTTACAAAATTTTATTGTTTTATATTTTATACGAATCAATTCTACTGTTTAAATGTAAAATTTAATTTTATTTATCCATTAAAATAATATTTAATTAAAATATTACAGTTTTTGTTTAATTTACAAAATAATAATATATAATTATAATTTACCGTTTTAATTACTAAATTAATATTGATTTTATTTATATATCTATAATACAGTTTTTCATTTTAATAATGTTATTGAAAAAAAATAAAAATTACATATTTATGTAAATATTTATTTATTAAATACAATAACTAAAATAATAAAATATAATTACAAAACACTATTTTTTGATTAATATTTATTATTTCTATTTTTTTRGTATTAAATAAATATTATTTATCAAATATCCAAAATAATATTATTATTAAATAAATTATAATTATTAACAAAAAATTTATTTGGAAATATTTGCTAAAATTATAAGTAAAAAACATTTTTTAAATTTATTAATATTAAAAAATCTATAATTATTAAAATTTAAAATAAAACATTTTGATAACTAACACAATTTTTGTTTAAAAAAATGTCAACAAAAAATATAAGTGGTTTAAAAATAATAATTAAATACATAAACTATACGGGTAACTATTATTTTGGACATCAAATATTTATCAATAATAATAATAATAATAATTCAAAATTAGTAATTTTGATAAAATTATTAAAAATTTCCCTAAATTTTCTAATYATATTACTGATAACATATTGTAACTATGAAAATATATTGAGCAGTCTAAATGATTTTGTTAATTTAGAAACTAAATTAACATTATCAACAAACAAATTTCAACTAATAAAACTATTGCATACCAGTGCTACAATTGGCTACACTATCCAGACATACAGTTCCCTATTTACAATCCTATTGAATGGACGTAAAATTGTTGATCTACTAGTTGGTCGAAAAAATCGGTACGTTTCCCGCAAACAGGAAAAACGTACGGGAATTATGTTAACACTATTAACCTTAATGTTGACTATAGTTATACAAACTAATTATTTTATAGCCTATAACTTGAGGTTAAATGTTTGGTTACATGATTTTCTATGGTTACCCATATATATATGATTAACTATAATATAAATCTAATATGTTTGACATTAATAGCCTATAAATCGTGGATAATATCTATACAATTAAAATATTTGACAAATAATTTGGAAAAGTTTACAATTGAATATATTTATCGATATTGTTTACAATTGAAACAATTTATCAAACAATTTGATAAATTATTTGAATTTAATAGTCTATTACTATTAGTTATACTATCAATTAGATTAATTTCAGATTTGAGCAAGCTATTTTTAGGTAATAATATAATTTTATATTTAATGTTAGCTGGCTTATTGGATAAGCTAGTACATTTTWTATATTTAATATATGTATGTAATATTATACCCAAAAGTTACAATAGATTTTTAAATGATTTGGAAAATAAATTTCACCTAGTTAATAGTAATAATAATAATAATATAAATAATTCAAGCAAGTTAAATTTAATTGAAAATTTAACTATTATTACATCATTAAAATCAATGTCCAGTGATATGTGTTTTACGGCTTACAGTTTGTATGCAATCAATAAACAAACACTAATAACATGTTTATCATTAATACTATCCTATGCTGTAATACTCATACAAACAAATATTGATTAAATATTAATTATTTTATATCTAATTATATTACAAATCTTATAATTGAATTTTTTTATTAAATATAATTTGATATTTAATATTAAATTATTGTGTAAATAATTATTATTTTTTATTGTAATCTAAAAATGTTTTAGATATATAATTATATATTGCTTTTATAATAATAACAATAAAATTAAATGTATTTTTTCCAGTAATATAAATTAATATCGATTTAATTTATAGAATTGTTTTTTGTATTTTAATAATATTTTCAACAAATAATCATAATAATTAAATATTTTTTTTTAATAATTATGATAATTGATTAAAAATTTCAATCAAATTATTGATTAAATACTATTAATGATCAGTAAAAAAAGTATAATACATATGTTTATCATAAATAAATCAAAATAAAAAAAACTATGTTTATATAAATACTTTAATTATATTTATACTGAATAATGTAAATATTAATAACATTAAAATTTTAATATTTAATAAAAATTTCTATATATATATAATACAATTTTTTAATTAATTATTTCAATTATTTGTCTTTAATTTTAAATAATATATTCAATAAATAAAAAATAATTGCATTGTTAGACTAATTAATGTAAATTTTTATTTAATATTATTGTACTTATAATACATTTATTTTTTTTATGTTATTGATTATTGATTTGTATGTGTGTGTAAATAAAATTTAATGTTATATTATATTTGCTATTATCTAATTAAATGTAAAAATTAAATTAAAATTCAATATATATATATATATATACTAAATAAATAATTATAATCTAATTTAATTGTTTGATTTTAAACATTTGTTTAAACATTGAAATACTAAGCAAAAAAAATATATATATTTATAAAATAATAAATTAAATAAAATAATAATTTTAAACATTTAATAGATATATATTTTTATTTTTTTTATAAATAATATTTAAAAAAAAGATATTTATATATATGTTTAAAATGTTATTAAATTCACTAAATAATTGTAAAATAATTATAATAATTATTAAATTTATAATTATTATATTATTATTATTATGTATTCCTGAATATAATTGCAATGATTATACAGAAAACTCTGGTCGGCGGCCATCAGTTGATACACCCGTCGGTAAAATTATCGGAACAAGTGTCCAGCGATTGGGCCGTCGGGTCAACTGTTTTCTGGGTATACCCTATGCTGAACCACCAGTCGGTGAACTCAGGTTCAGGAAACCGGTAGCAAAAAAACCGGTAAAAGGTTTGTAATAGAAATAATTATTTTATATTATTATTGATTTTTTACTAAAAAAAAAAGTTATCCAAAAAAAAATATATATATAGATATAAATATTAGTTAAATAGTTTTTGAAAACTTAGAATTAAAAAATTTTTTCTTTATTAAAATATCAATTATTGGATTTGATTGTATTTTTTGTTGTTGACTACATTTAATATTATTAATGAAAAATAATAATATTGTTAATTAATTAGTTATCACTGCTTTTATATACTGGTTTTTATAAAATAATAATAATTATTTTTATTTTTTTTAAAAAAAAAGTTATAAAAAATAGTTTATTAATATTTGTTTTTTTCTGACATTAAATTTATTGAAAAATATTAAGTATTGTAATAATTATATATATATTAAATTAAATTCATTAATTAGTTATCACTGCTATTAAACAACCGGATTATTGTTGGCAATCGTCAAAGTCTTACAACAAATATTATAATAGACAAATGAAATCGTATGGCAAATGGATAACCGATTGGACGGACAGTATGGCTGGCATACGGCCATCGGAAGACTGTCTCTATTTGAATGTCTATCAGCCGACGGTCGTCATCGACAAACCGACAAACAGGACAACAATGACCGATAACAACAACAACAACTTAACGGTAATGGTCTGGATATACGGCGGAGCCTTTCGTATTGGTGCTATCAGTCTGTATGACGGGTCAGTTATGGCTGCCAGTCAACAGGTACTGGTAGTTACCATTAGCTACAGGTTGGGTGTGTTTGGTTTTTTGGCCGCACCTGCCGACGATGATGATGATGACGGCACCAGTAGTACCAGTAGTAGTAGTAGTAGTAGTTATCATGGATTGGCCGGTAATTGGGGTCTTCACGATCAAGTACTGGCACTTGAGTGGATCAAACAGAATATCCATTGGTTTGGCGGTAATCCCGATAACATAGTATTGTTTGGCGAAAGTGCCGGTGCTATCAGTATTGGCTATCATATGATTTCCCCGTTAAGTAGTAACGGACAACTATTTCATAGAGCTATTATGGAAAGTGGCGATCCATTAGTACCGATGATAATGGCTGCCAAACATACCCATACCCAGGCAGTGGTCGATCTGATAAAGTCCGTGAATTGTACCCAACTATTAGCTATTAGTACTACTACTACTAATTCAAGCCATAATAATACTAATAATAATAAGCAGATCATTGATGATGGACTTGAGTGTCTCAGACAAACAGATAGCCGACAATTGCAGGACATATCGGAAACGGTTAGTAAAAAATTTAAGGAACAGGTATTTCTACCTGTAGTCGACAATGACCTATTGGTTGGTCATCCGCAAGATTTAGTCAACAATCAAAGTCTGAAATATCCAGTTAATGAAATACTTATGGGTACTAATGCTGTGGAAGGTATGTATGATTGTTGGATATATACCTTAGACTACCTGAGCTATTGAGAGAGAGAGAGAGAGATAAAAAATATCTAACCCATTGTTGTTGTTTATTTAGGCGCCGAGTTTGCATCGTTGGGACCGTTGGCCAAGTATTGGCATAACGATACTATTGACCGAAACTTTACCAGACATGCTATCGACGAGTTTGTCAATCAGTCGGTACTGGAAATGTATCAAAATCTGGCTCAAGAGGCCCTGGGTTTTGCTTTCGATGGCTTAGACCAGCAAAACACGACACAATTGTGGACACGTTATATCCAATTGATTGGCGATATTATCTTTGTCTGTCCCGACCAGTTGTTTGTCGATCAGTTTGCTGGTGACGACACCTCCAACACCGATGGTGGTGTCGTTACCAGAAATCGTCGTACTGTCTATTACTATCAGTTTAAACATAAACCTAGACACATATCTAGTGGCCCAAAGTGGGCTACAGGTGCCGTACACGGCGATGAAATTGCATTTATTTTTGGCTATCCTCTGGTAGTCTCGGATGAATCAGTTTATACACGAGAGGAAAGACAACTGAGCCGTCAAATGATGACAATTTGGACTAATTTTGCCAAAACTGGGTAAAGTATTGCTGTTTAGAGTAGATGTTTATGTTATGTGTGTGTGTGTGTGTGTGTGTGTGTATGTGTGTATGTTATGTATGTGTGTATGTGTATGTGTATGTGTATGTGTATGTGTATGTGTATGTGTATGTGTGTATGTTATGTGTGTGTATGTTATGTGTGTGTGTATGTTATGTGTGTGTAAGTTATGTGTGTGTATGTTATGTGTGTGTAAGTTATGTGTGTGTATGTTATGTGTGTGTATGTTATGTGTGTGTATGTTATGTGTGTGTATGTTATGTGTGTGTGTGTGTGTGTGTTATATATGTGTGTGTTATATGTGTGTGTGTTATATGTGTATGTTATGTATGTGTGTGATATGTATGTACAGCTCTTTGCAAAAATATTAATAATTCTATAAAATTAATTTTAAACATGTTTAATAAATAATAATTAAAAATAATAATAAATAAATAATAATTTATAATATAAATAAATCAAATAATAATAAATTAATATTTAATCTTGTCCCCGTTGGCCGCGATACAGGCTTCAACCCTGCGCGGCATGCTATCAATAAGGGACTCTATGTGATTGGGGACAACAGTGTCTCAAATTTTTTGGATTTTTTCGGTCCAATTGGTTATGGAGCGATCCGGGTCTTTCTCCAACTCGGCCTTCATTATCGCCCAAAGGTTTTCGATTGGGTTAAGGTCTGGAGAGTAGGGTGGCCAGTCCAATACAGTTTACCCCTCTCTCTCCAGCCATTCCCGTGTGGATCGAGCCTTGTGGGCCGGAGCATTGTCTTGCTGAAAGACAAAACCATCTGGATATAATACCCAGATGGTTTCCATATGCTCCCCGAGGGTTAGTTATTAACCCTCGGCATTAATAGACCCCCTGGCCATCATGAGGGTTGTGGTAGCTCTTGAAGAGATACCACCCCAAATCATGATAGCCAGGCCGTGCCTCAAGGCTGATCTGGTGGGTCTGGTCCGCCCCCAGAGCTTAATCGTGTTGCGGAACAGCTGAAAATAACTTTCATCGCTGAACGCAACATTGGACCAGTCCCGATTCCGGTTAGAATGGCACCATTCTAACCGGGTATTTTTTTGCTCAGGGGTCAGGACTAATGTCTTCTTTGGCACCCATTTCTTGAGCCCTGACCTCTGTAGAGAGCGCCAAACCGTTCCAAAGAGGGCTTCCTCTTCTGTGAATCTCTGAAGCGATATTCTGGCTGCTTCTCAGAGGGTTATTGAGTGCCAATAGGGTGATCCGTCGCTTGTCATTGGCATCCAATTTTGAAGGGCGGCAACTTTGTGGAGCTCTTTCGGCTCCCGATCCCGCGTTAAACCGCTTAATACAGCGGTAAACTGTGGCCGGGGTATGTTTGTTCTTGAGATGAGGTCCTTGGCTTTGACTACCCCCCGCCTCCAGTGCCAAAGGAGTGTTTTTCGGGTCTCTTCTTCTGGTCCACACATGTTATGAAAAATGCTTTTCAAATGGATTTTTAAAATGATTGATATATCATGTGATATACCAAATGAAAGGATATTTAATCCTTTATTTAAATATATAAAAATAATCCCCATATCTTTAATGATATCAAAGTTATTTGAGTTTAAAAATTTTTAATATTTTATCAATATATATGCAAAGAGCTGTATGTTATGTGTGTGTGTGTGTGTGTGTGTGTGTGTTATATATGTGTGTGTTATGTGTAAATGTTTGTGTATGTGTGTAATATAATAACTTTTACTAACTTTTTGTTTGCTATTAAATTATATTATTTACTTTTTTTGTTAAATTTTATATTTTATTTATTTTTATTATTTATTTTTTTTGGTTAGTAATCCAATGCCTGATAATCCTAATCAATGGATAGCATATACACCACAACAGAAGCGATATATGATTTTTGATACAAACAGTAGTTATTTAACTAATGGTTTTCCCGGATATAAATGCAATGATTATTATGAAATGGCTATAACTAATGCCAGACATATGATTGCCAATAATAATAATAATTAATTTAAATATAATTAGATTAGTATTTAGAATATAATTATTAAAAACAATAATTATTTTATTTTTTTAAAAATTATTTATTGAATTATATTATGTTATTATTAATATTATATTACTTTTTTCTTAATAGTTATCAAAAAAAATTTATTTGTTTTATTTGTTTTTATATTATTTCATAAGCAATTTTTAGATTAAACGCTATATTATTATAAATAACATTTTAGTTTATTTATTTCAACTAAATAATAATAATTATCTTTAAGAGTTAGAAAAGTGAAGAAAATAATATATTTTTTATAAATATATATAACTTTTTTTTTATTTTATTTTATATTTATATTGAAATATTTTTTATATTTTTTTTAATAACTAATATAAATAAAATAAAAATAACCTAGTTTGTTATATTTAGTAGATATTTTCAAGTTATAAAAATTATTATAATATTAAAACATATATTAACAATAGATAATAAAAAAAATAGTAAATTAATTAATTTAAAAATTTTATATTCATTATATATACAGTATATTAATATTTTAATAAAATTTAATTTATACATTAAACTTAACTAATATATAATACATTAATGTAAATATTAATTTATATACTGTATATACTGTATATACTGTATATAAAAGCCTATTTATTAATAGTAGTAAACATTTTATTATTATTTCAATATTATGCAAATTAAACAAAATAATAACAAAATAATCAATATTATATTTATTATACATTAATATATTGTTATATATATAAATACTATTATATAAATTAAATGTTAATATATTATTAGAGTTAATAGATTTAAGTGCACTTAAAAAATATTTATTCAAAATTTTAATTAAATTACAGTTTAAATAATAATTATTAAAATAGTTATCATATATATACTATAAAAAATACAGTATATATGTTAAGCTAATGTAAGTTAGTTAAATAAATCTTTATATTATTTTTAGTTAACTAAAAGATTACAACCAAAAAAAAAAATCTAATTATAGTAACTAAATTATTTTTTAAAAAAAACTTAAAAACTAATTTTAATAAAAAGTAATACAATGTCAACAACAAATAATATCAGTGGTTTAAAAATATTAATAAAATACATAAACTATTCAGGCAACTATTATTTTGGTCATCACATATTTATCAATAATAGCAATAATAATAATAATAATAATAAATTGATATTTTTAATAAAATTATCCAAATTTTTAATCAATTTTGTAATTATATTACTGATAACATATTGCAACTATGAAAACATTAGTGGCAGCCTAAATGAATTTGATAATTTTAATTTTACATTATCCGAAAAATTTAAATTAATAAAACTATTGCATATTTTAGCAACAATTGGCTACACTATCCAGACATACAGTTCACTATTGACGATCGTATTGAATGGCCGTAAAATTGTTGATCTACTAGTCGGTCGACCAAATCAATACGTTTCCGACAAATTGGAAAAACGTACGGGAATTGTGTTAACATTGCTAACATTACTGTTAAGCGTAACTATTCATATAAATTATTTTATAGCGTATTCACGTTTTTCCAGACAATTAACAATCGATGATTGGCTAAAATTTCCAATATATGTCATCAATATTAATATGAATATGATTTGTTCGGCACTGATTGGCTATAAATCGTTTATAATATCCAAACAATTGATGTATATTACGAAAAATATAGGCAAAAATTTTGAATTAAAATATTGTTTAAAATATTCAAATCAATTGAAACAATTTATCAAACAATTTGATAGACTATTAGGTTTGAATAATTTGTTGCAACTGTTTCTACTATCTATTAGAATAATTTCCGATTTGATCAAGCTATTTTTTTCAAACAATCATAATTTACATTTATCATTAACTGGCCTAGTAGATGAACTAGTACATTTTATTTATTTAACCATTGCATGCAATATTATATCTGAAAGTTACCAAAATTTTGTTAATAATTTGGAAAATAAATTTCACCAAGTCAATATTAATAAAATTAGTATTACTAATACTAATACTACTACTACTAATACTACTACTACTAATACTACTACTACTAATACTACTACTAATAATAATTCAAACAGGTTAAATTTAATTGAAAATTTAACTATTATTTCATCATTGAAATCAATGTCCAGTGATATGTGTTTTACTGCTTATAGTTTGTATGCAATCAATAAACAAACACTAATAACATGTTTATCACTAATACTATCCTATAGTGTAATACTTATACAAACAAATATTAATTAATTAATTTATTTACTTATTTCAATCAATAGAAGTCATCAAAATTACATTGTTTTAAAAAATTTTGTTATAACTATTATTTGATTAAATTAAACAAAAAATAAAACTTTAATTTATTATATAACTTAATGATTAATGTAAAATTAAACAATTATAACATAATTTATAACTTAATCTATTAATAAAAAAAAAATAAACATTTTATATCAGTTTATTAGCAGTAAAAGCATTTCAATATAAATGTGAAATACTTTATAAAATGTTTTATTTATACAAAAAAAAATCTATAATATGATTATTATTATTATTATTATTATTATTAAACTTAATGTTATTTCCAATACTTATTTATATATCATTGCTTTTATCAAATAAAAATAAAAATAATAACTAATAATTAATAGATAACTTAATAATTTATTGATTTTAATAATAACATAACATAAACTCTCTATTAATAAATAAAATTTTAAAAAATTATTTAACAAATTATTAATGTTTTTAATAATTATATTCTAAATATTAATCTAATTATATTTAAATTAATTATTATTATTATTGTTGGCAATCATATGTCTGACATTAGTTATTGCCATTTCATAATAATCATTGCATTTATATCCGGGAAAACCATTTGTTAAATAACTATTGTTTGTATCAAAAATCATATATCGCTGCTGTTGTAGTGTATATGCTATCCATTGATTAGGATTATCAGGCATTGGATTACTAAACAAAAAAAAAGATAAAATTTAATAACAATAACAACAACAATAACAAAATTTTAGTAAAAGTTATTTTATTACACACATACACAAACATATAAAAATTTATACACACATAACACACACACATAACATACACACACACACACATAACATACACACACACACATAACACACACACATAACACACACACATAACACACACACACACATCTACTCTAAACAACAATACTTTACCCAGTTTTGGCAAAATTAGTCCAAACTGTCATCATTTGACGGCTCAGTTGTCTTTCCTCTCGTGTATAAACTGATTCATCCGACACTACCAGAGGATAGCCAAAAACAAATGCAATTTCATCGGCGTGTACGGCACCTGTAGCCCACTTTGGGCCGCTAGATATGTGTCTAGGTTTATGTTTAAACTGATAGTAATAGACAGTACGACGATTTCTGGTAACGACACCACCATCGGTGTTGGCGGTGTCGTCACCAGCAAACTGGTCGGGACAGACAAAGATAATATCGCCAACCAATTGGATATAACGTGTCCACAATTGCGTCGTGTTTTGCTGGTCTAAGCCATCGAAAGCAAAACCCAGGGCCTCTTTGGCCAGATTTTGATACATTTCCGGTACCGACTGATTGACCAAATCGTCGATAGCATGTTTGGTAAAGTTTTGGTCAATAGTGTCGTTATGCCAATACTTGCCCAGAGGTCCCAACGCTGCAAAGTCGGCGCCTAAAACAACAACAACAATAGGTTAGCTCAGGTAGTCTAATGGTCACAGCTATATACAGTATATACACTATTATCATACAATACCTTCCACAGCATTAGTACCGATAAGTATCTCATTAATTGAATACTTTAGACTCTGGTTGTTGACTAAATCTTGCGGATGACCAACCAGTAGGTCATTGTCGACTACCGGTAGAAATATCTGTTCCTTAAATTTTTTACTAACCGTTTCCGATATGTCCTGCAATTGTCGGCTATTTGTTTGTCTGATACACTCAAGTCCATCATCAATGATCTCCATATTATTATTATTATTATGGCTTGAATTAGTAGTAGTAGTAGTAATAGCTAATAGTTGGGTACAATTCATGGACTGAATCAGATCGACCACTGCCTGGGTATGGGTATGTTTGGCAGCCATTATGAATGGTACTAATGGATCGCCACTTTCCATAATAGCTCTATGAAATAGTTGCTGACTTAATGGGGAAAGCATATGATAGCCAATACTCATAGCACCGGCACTTTCGCCAAACAATACTATGTTATCAGGATTGCCACCAAACCAATGGATATTCAGTTTGATCCACTTGAGTGCCATGACCTGATCGTGAAGACCCCAATTACCGGCCAATTCATGATAACTACTACCACTACCACTACTACTACTGGTGCCGTCATCATCATCATCGACGGTAGGTGCGGCCAAAAAAACCAAACACACCCAACCTGTAGCTAATGGTAACTATCAGTACCTGTTGATTGGCAGCCATGACTGACCCGTCAAACAGACTGACAGCACCCATACGAAAGGCACCGCCGTGTATGTAAACCATTACCGTTAAGTTGTTATTGTTGTTGTTGTCGGTCATTGTTGTCCTGTTTGTCGGGTCGACGACCGTCGGCTGATAGACATTCAAATAGAGACAGTCTTCCGATGGCCTGATGTCAGCCATACTGTCCGTCCAATCGGTTATCCATTTGCCATACGTTTTGATTAGTTTTTTATAATATTTGTTGTAATACTTTGACGGTTGCCAACAATAATCCGGTTGTTTAATAGCAGTGATAACTAATTAATAAATTAATTATTTATTTATTTATATAATTATTACAGTACTTAAAATTTTCAATAAATTTAATGTCAGAAAAAAACAAATATTAATAAACTATTTTTATAACTTTTTTTTTTAATAATAAATAAAAATAAAATAACTATTTCTATCAGTAAATAAAAGCAGTGATAACTAATTAATTAATTATTTATTTATTTATTTATTTATATAATTTTTACATAAATAATATTATTAAATGTGAAGACATCAAAAAATACAATCAAATCTAATAATTGATATTTTAATAAATATGTTTTTATTTTAAATTTTAAAATCTAAGTTTTCAAAATATTTAACTAATATTTATAAATATTTATTTTTTTGATAACTTTTTTTTAAGTAAGAAATAATTATTTCTATACAAACCTTTTACCGGTTTTTTTGCTACGGGTTTCCTAAACCTTAGTTTACCGACTGGTGGTTCAGCATAGGGTATACCCAGAAAACTGTTGACCTGACGGCCCAATCGCTGGACACTTGTACCGATAATTTTACCGAAGGGTGTATCAACTGATGGCCGCCGACCAGAGTTTTCTGAATAATCCATACAATTATATTCAGAAATACATAATAATAAAAAAATAATTATTAAATTTATAATTATTAAAATTGTTATACAATTATTCACATTATTTAATAACATTTTTAAAAAATATATATATATTGTTTGTAAAAATGTAAATTTAATATATTTGATAAAATAAAACTTTATATCTATATATATTAATTGTTTAATTGGATGTTAAAATTTATTTAAAATTTAATTTGTTTTGTAATGTTTTTTAAAGTATTAAATTTTTTGTTTTGTTTATTTTTGAAATTGTTTTAACAAATGTTAACAAATAGACAATTAAATTATAATTACAGTTAGTTTTTTTAAATTAATTTTTTTTTTGATTTTTTTAAAATTTTACATTTTTTTTGATTTTTTGATTTTGATGATTTTGATTTGATTTGATTTTGATATGATTTTGACATTTGATTTTTACATTTAATTAGTTAATAGCATGTATAACATTATTATTTTATTTACATAGACATAACAAACAAACAAAAAATCAATAAAAACATTAAAACATTATAATTATAGTTATAATAACTACAATAATATTAAATACAAAAAAAATGTTGTTTAATATATATATATATATATATATATATATAAATAATTTCATCTAAAGGTTCAGTAAATAACTTTTTTTATTATTTTATTTTTTATTTTAAATCAAAACCAAATAGACAGTCGTATTGATTATCATTTTTTATTAAAACATTTTATAAAATATTTAAATTAGTTTAATATTATAGCATAAAATAATATTAATTATATAAAAATTTTGTTTTAATTATTTGTGTAGTGATTGTTATAAATAAAAAATGTATTTTTTATAAGTATCTAAATTAGTTTATTTTAATTAAATAAAATTATTTTATAAAATGTTATTTTCAATTTATATAGCATATGATAAAATAATATATTCTAACATAAAACATATGATGACAACAAAAAAATATTTATTAAATAATAAAATAGTTTTAAACTAATTGATAATTTATATACAATTTCATTATGTATTAGTTTGTATAAGTATTACACTATAGGATAGTATTAGTGATAAACATGTTATTAGTGTTTGTTTATTGATTGCATACAAACTATAAGCTGTAAAACACATATCACTGGACATTGATTTCAATGAATTTATAATAATTAAAGTTTCAATATTACATACATTATTATTATTATTATTAAATTGATATAAATTTTCTAGTTTATCTAAAAATTTCCCATAACTATCTGGTAAAATATTGCATGCATATACTAAATAGACTAGTTGTACTAGGGCATCAAATAAGCTAGCTAAATTTATCAATAGATTTAGATTATTACCAAAAAATAGCATGGTAAAATTGGCTAACAACCTAATAAACAATAGTATTAATAATAGAAAATTATGTTTTGATATCAATCGATCAAATTGTTGGACATATTGTTTCAATTCAAGACAATATTGATAAATAAAATTTAAGGAAAATTTCTGGTAATTATCCGATAAATAATTTAATTGCTGTGATATTATAGTTGATTTATAAGCTACTAGTGCTGTAATCAACATATTTGTATTGAATGCCATCAGATATAGGGGTTGTGTAACCAATTCAATGGTCGATAGTTGAAAATTATCCAAAATTAAAAATGCCATAAAATATGTAAATTTCATTATGATTGCCAACAATAGGGTTATTAGTGTAACCCAAATAGCCGTACGTTTTTCGTACCGATCGGTAACTGATTGATGGTCGGGCTGTCCAACTGTTTGCAGTAATAGGTCGACCAATTGACGGCCATACCAGACACTAACTGTACAGGAACTGTATGTTTGCGCAGCAAAACCTATTGTTGAACAGGTATGTAATATTTGTAGTAATTTATTTTTTGATGACCTAAATTTTAATCGATCAAAATTCAATATTGGTAAAATAATATTTATAATATTACAATATGTTAGCAAACATATTAATAAAAAATTCAGTATAAATCTAAAAATTTTTGAATAATTTAATCTAACTATTATTGATTTATTAGTATTAATAGTTTTATGATTATTATTATTATTATTATTATTATTAATATTATAACCAAAATAAACATTTCCAGTATAGTTAAAATATTTAATTAATATTTTTAAACCACTAGATGTTGACATTTTTTTAAAACAAAATATTTAATTTTTAGTATAATATTTTAAATTAATAGAAAATTATTATTACTATTATTATTAAACAATATATAAAAACAAATAATTAGTAAAAAGTTATTCAATAACTATGATGTTTACCAAAATTTTTGTTACAATAAAATAGACTAAAAATAAAATAATTATTATAACATAAATATATTGATTATATGCATAAAAACATTTAACATAAACACATAAATAATCAATTTATTAATACTTTTTATATATAATAAATACTAACAATAATTACTATAATTTTTTATATAATTGTTTTTTATCTAATAAATATTATTTATAATGATATATATTTTATTTGCTATTTTAGTGTTAATTATTATATATTTTATTGATTATAATTGTAAATAACAATAATTTATTTTTTGTTGTTGAAAATAATCAATAATTGCAACTAAACAGCAATTATATGTTATACAAAAGTTTATATATATATTGTATTAATTAACAGTTTTTATTAAATAATATATACTACAAAATATTTTTTTATAAATTAACAAAAAATAATAATTATTATATTTTATAGAAATTAACTTAAACTATTTACTAATATAATAATTGAATTAATACAAATTATAATTATAATGATATCTATGACCTATTGATATAACACTAAAATATAGTATTTGTATTTAGATATCAATATTTTGTTATTAAATAAAATAAAATAAATGTCAAAAATAAATTATTTATAGATTTTTTTTTGTTTTCTGTAAAACAATTTGTTTTATGCATTAGTTTGTATGAGTATTACAGCATAGGTTAGTATTAGCGATAAACATGTTATTAGTGTTTGTTTATTGATTGCATACAAACTATAAGCTGTAAAACACATATCACTGGACATTGATTTCAATGAATTAATTAATATTAAATTTTCAATAATATTATCATTAGTATAATTATTAGTATTATAATTATTACATAATTGATATGTATTTTCTAATTGATTCAAAAATTTTAAATAACTATCTGGCAGTATATTGCATGCATATATTAAATAAATAAACTCAACTAGGCTATCACATATACCAGCTAATGTTACTGGTAGATTTCGATTATTACCAAAAAATAGCATGGTCAAATTGGATATCAATCTAATTGATAGTAATATAATTTGTAGAAAATTATGAAATCGTATGAATTGATCAAATCGATGGACAAATTGTTTCAATCGTAGACAATGTAGATAAATAAATTTTAACGAAAATTTCTGTGAATTTTCTAATAGATATTCAAATTGTTGGGATATTATCGACGAATTGTAGACAATTAATGCCGTAATCAATAGATTTGTATTGAATGCCATTATATATAACGGTTGTACTGCTAGCTCATAGCCAGACACTTGAAAATTATCGATAATTAAAAATGCCATAAAATATATCAGTTTCAAACATAATGCCAGCGATAGGTTTAAAACCGTTACCCAAATACCTGTACGTTTTTCCCGTCTATTGCAAACATATTGTTGATAATGATTATTAGGTGACTCTACTAGTAGTAATAGGTCGACCATTTGACTGCCGTACCTAATGTTGCAAACAAATATTTACAAAATATTAGGAAAATTTCTAGAAAATTTCTAAATGAAATTTATATCTATGGGATCTCTTACCTCCACCATGGTTATAATTAAATATAAGTATTAATTATATATTTTTAATAATTATATATTATTAATAATTATATAATTTACATAAAAATATTTATTATTTCAAATAAAAAAAATTATTTATTTAATTATATTAAAATATGATATACAGTATATACTGTATATTAGAAATGATAAATAAAATTTTTCATAAAATGATTATTATTATTAAATAATAATAATTAGTTTATATATATATATAGGTATCCATTTTTTTGTATAATATACAGTATATATATATAGTATTATATCTCATTAATATATAGTATTACAATATATCTATAAATATATGGGTGGATCCCATATAATAATAATACAAATAAAAATTTCTATGGAAATTTATTTTATTGAAAAAAAAATAATTTTCTAGAAAATTTCTAGGAAACATTTTTTATTTTTGCACATACCTGACAATAAAAGTATAGGTACTGTATGTTTGTAATGTAAAACCCATTGTTGAACCGCTAAGCAATAGTTGTAATAATTTTGATTTTGTTGAACGAAACATTAGTTTATCAAAATTTATGATTAGTGTTAATAAATTTTTTAGATTAAAATATGTTATCAAACATATTAGGATGAAATTAATTAAAAATTTTATGATTTTTATATAATTTAATTGAAATTTTTTATATTTATTATTATTAGTATTATTAGTATTAACATTAGTATTAATATTATTATTAATATTATGGCCAAAATAAACATTGCCAGTAATATTAAAATATTTTATTAATATTTTTAAACCACAATTTTTTGACATTTTTTTAAATAAAAATATATTAATTTAAACATATATTATATTTTTTTAATAATAAATTAAGTTATTTATTTTAATGTTAACCATTATTTTATGTATATTAAAATAGACTAAAATAAAATATTATTATTTGAAAATATTAAGTAATTTTTTTACAAACATTTTTAATAAATAAAATAATTAAATTTATTTAAATTATTAGTAAATAAAATAATTATACTTATAATAAATAATAGATTTTATTCTCTAAATAAAACATATGTTTAATAATACATAAAAATTAAAAATAATTATTTAATTTTCTTTATTATTATTAGATTTGTATGAAAAAAATAATTATTTATCATTTCTTATAGTTATTTAAATTTTATTGATTATTATTATTGTAAGAAATAATTAGTTTATTAAATAATATTTATTAAAAAAATTGCTGTAAATTTAATATAATTATAAAGTTTATGTTTTTAGCTATTAAAATACAATAATATATTTATGATTTTGTATGAGTATTATAGCATAGGATAGTATTAGTAATAATAAAATTAATTATATAAAAAAATTATTTTAATTATATAACATAAAATATATTTTTTTAAATAATTATTTTTAAAATTAATAATTTTAATTTATTTATATCTCATATTTTTTATCTTAAACTAATTAATATTAGTTTGTATAAGTATTACACTATAGGATAGTATTAGTGATAAACATGTTATTAGTGTTTGTTTATTGATTGCATACAAACTATAAGCTGTAAAACACATATCACTGGACATTGATTTCAATGATGAAATAATAGTTAAATTTTCAATTAATTGTAAACTATTTACACTATTATTATTATTAATATTATTATTACTATTACTTATTTGATATTTATTTTCCAAAAAATTAACAAATTTTTTATATGATTCGGGTATTAAATTGCATGCATATACTAAATAAATTAATTGTACTAGCTCATCAAATAAACCAGCCAGGGCTAATGATAGATTTTTTTGGCTAACAAAAAATAGCTTGCTCAAATCAGATATCATTCTAATTGATATTATTGTCAATAATAACATATTATGTTTAGATAATAGACTATCAAATTTTCCAACAAATTGTTTCAATTCTAGACAATAATCATAATTTAATTTCAATTGAAATTTATTCAGATTTTTTTCTAAATATTCTAATTGTTTTGATATTTCATAGGATTTATAGGCTATTAGTACCGTTGATATCATATTTATATTGAAATCAATCAAATATACGGGTATTAATAGATAACTGGTTAGCGGTAATGGTTTAAAACCATTTACCAATTGAAATGATAGTATATAATTGCCAGCAATACTAACGGTTAGTATTATGGTTATACTAATTAATATAATTGTTGCACGTGTTTGTTGACGTTTGTTGTCCAACACGTGATTATGATTTTTAAAATAGGACTTACTGTCCATTAAATCGACAATACGTCGACCATTTAGTAGAATAATAATGTAGGAACTGGTAGTTTGTAGGGTATAGCCAACCGATGCACATGTATGCAGTATTTGCAACAATAATGTCGATTTTGATGATTGTCTAAACATAAATTTGTCAAATTGATAAATACTATGTATAATAATTAGACAATTATTATATAGGGTTAGACCAATGATTAATAAATTTATCAATAGTTTAATAATTTTAATTGACCAAGCTGCAAATTTATTATTATTATGATGATTATTATTGTTATCTAAATCATGAGCAAAATAAATGTTGCCTGTATATTTTATATAGCCAATTAATAGTTTTAATCCACCATGATAATTATTAGACATTTTTTAAATAAATTTTTTATTATTTCAAATAATTATGTTTTTTAGATATTTTTTTAAAAGATAATTATGATATAATTATCTATTAATTAGTTTTAGAGTTTTACAGTTTAGCTATAAATTTATACAAAAATTTATTGTATTATTTTTATATAATACAATAGTTATACAAATATTGTAGCAATGGTTACAATATATAAGTATAACAAAAAATATATAAACACAAAATAATCTATTAATATATATAAACTTTGTTATTTTATAAATATTTTAAATGTTATATATGTTAATATTATTTACATAATTATTATTTGAATAACTAATGTATTTATATATGAAAAATAAAATTATTGTTTTCTATTTTTTAATATATGATAAACATATTCATTTAAAAATAATATAAATTTTTACTAAAAATTAATTATTGTTAGCTTAATCTATAATTAAGTCTAAATAATAGATAAATAATATTTTATTTTATTTTTAAAATACTTATTTCAAATGTAAATTATATTTTATCTGTTTAAAAATTAAATCGTGTTTTGAAAAAAAAATATTTATTTTATATTAATTATTTTGATTATTGATTTATTTATATTATGATCTATAATAATAAATATTTAATAAATAAAATGCATTTAGTCTATTATAGTTTATTTTCTTAAAAAAAATATTGTAACAATAGTTACAATAATACAAATCATAAATATCAACAAAAGGTTTTTAAATAAAATTATTTATTTATAGTGTAATATAATAATTAAAAAATATTAAAATAATTACTWTAAAAAAATAATTTTGAAATGTAGTTAATTATATTAATAGCAATAGAAAAATATTTTTAACAATTATGAAATAATAGAAATATAGTATTATTATTTTAGTACTTAAATTTTAAAAACAATAAAATAATTAATAAAAAAAATATATTTATTAAAATTAGATAATTATATAATTAGTATTAAAATATTTCTAACAAATATGAAACAATTAAAAAAATGTATTTTATAAAGTAATATTGTATAACAAAATTTTTAATTATTTAAATTGCATTATTATTTTATAATTTATCTTAATTTCTATAATATTATTTTGTATATATATAATAAATATAAACGAATTAAAATAAATTATTATTTTTTAAAAAATATAAATAATATTTTTAATTTATAGATTGCAATTTATATATATTTTTTGTAATTATTATTAACTAATTTTGGTTAAAAACAATAATTGAATGACAGTCAGATACTATTCTAAGTAAAGCTAATTTTTAAATTTAAGTAATATATAAAATAATTTTTAAAAATATATTGAATATTTATTTTATTCACTATTGATTTATTTGTATTACCTATACGTAGTAATAAGTTATAAAATACATTAATTTATTATATTTTACTTAATATTAATATTGTAACAATGGTTACATTAATAAAAATAATTTATCAACAAAAAAAAGGTTTTAAAATTATTAAATTTAAATTAAATTATAATAAAAATTTGTTTACGTGAATTTTTTTCAATTTTAAATATAAATAAAATTGTAAAAACACAGATTAATTTTTTGAAAATTTTAAATTGTTTTTAGTACTTAAATTAAAAAATATAGATAATAATATTATTAAAATTTAGTATTAAAATATTTATAACAATTATTAATACAGCACTAGTTGTATTTAAAAAATAAATAAAAATTATGATTATTTCAATTGCATTATAATATTAAAATTTATAATTATTTCAATTGCATTATAATATTAAAATTTATATTATATTCAATAACAATTATTTTTGTATATGAAATAAATTATTAAATAAAAAATAAGATTTACAAAAAATTGTTTACTATATATATATGTTGTAATAATATTTCATTTTTTTGTCAATATAGTATTACTTTCCAATATACTGTATGTACTAAAACTAAAAAGTTTTAATTTTAAAAATATTAATTATTAAAAGTTTTAATTTTAAAAATATTAATTATTAAAAGTTTTAATTTTAAAAATATTAATTAATTAATAATTATGAAATTGAATAATAAAAAATTAACATATTATTTCCTATGTATGTTAGGCTGTATGTATCATACATATCGTTTAAGTGAACTATACTTTAGCTATAATACGGTAACTAATGTTAAATATGAAACTATGGATAGCGTATCGTTGCCCGGGATTACTGTCTGTAATTATAAATCAAATTTATTAAGTAAACAATTTCTAGAAAAAACATTACGCAATAATTACAACAACAAAACTATTACATTAAACGATCAAAAATTGTTGTCTAAACTATTAGACCGTTTAACAATAAATGAACAAGCTAAACTAATGGCACCATTGAATCAATGGTTACAATGTAAAATCAATGGACATTTTAATTGGTCTCGTACAAAACGTAATTGTTCAAGTATAGTTAAGTATAAAATATCCATAGAGGTTGCATTGTTATGTACTACAATATTTGCTGATGATAATAATAATATAAATTTTGAACATGATAAAAATAATAACAATAATAATAAATTTATGCTACTTAATCGTGATACACATTTTATGATAACATTAAAACGTTTACCAAGTAAATATAATTCAAAATATTTCATAGTATTACATGATCGTTCAAAAATTATAACTAAATTAAATCGTGAAAATCTAATCAACCTTGATTATAATAATAATAATAATTTAATCTATCAGCGTACTATAATTAAAAATTACGTTTATGGACGTAATAATAATAATAGACAATGTTTTTATAGTATAAATATTGACGATTGTATTAAGCAATGTGTTAATAAATTATATCGTTTAGAAATTAATAAAAATTCAACGCTAATATTTACGTATAATCTATCGAGTCAATTGTTAACCAAATCATATTATAGTATTGATAATCTTGGTAACTATCATAACCAGTGTTATG